ATCTCTCCTCGAGGTCATCACTTAGGCGAATTCGGCCCTCGGACAGAAAACCGAGCATAGGCACGAACAAAAGACTTGGGCAAATTTGCCAACAAAGTCAAAACCACATACGGGCAAGATTCGGGCCCATAACTTAGGCCAATTTCAGCGTAAAAATGTTAAACACAAACGCGGGCAAACAATTAAGAATCGAAACAAACATTCAGTTGAAAGGCCCGTGGGCAACAAAGCAAATAGATATAAACTGACCAAGAAGGCCGACGATGTTCAGGAGATACAAAGAACGGGTACGCAGGCCCAAAAGAATATGAATGGGCACGCAGACCCAAAACAAACATCAACAAAGGCGCGCAGGCCCTATCAGAATCTCTCATCTAGGCTTCCCTGGAGCTATCACCACCAATGACAGGAGACTCGGGCGGGGGCACGACCTGGCCGTCAATAATCTGAGACATATAGCCCGCCCCTTCAGTGTTCAGGCCGGGATTCAACAGGGAGAGCTGGCTGACCGCGGCTTCAAAGCCATCCACCATAGCTCCGACATAGTCCCCCTCGAGAAGTTGGATACGAGCGACCAGTTCCGATCGACTCCGCAAAGGAGCTGTATCCTCCGACTCATCCTCGGCAGGAAGCATAACGGCCTTTAGGTCCTCAATCTCTTTAACGAGGCATGCGTTTTCAATTTCCAGGCGTTCCCGGTCCTCTCGGAAATGGTCCCTCTCCTCGGCCATCTTCCCTAAGTTCTCTTTCTCCAGAGCCAACAACTCTGTCTCCGCCGCCAACAGCTCGGCTTGCTCGCGGAACATCTCCTCGGAGCGCTCCAGAGCAGCCTTCAACTTTCGCAAACTCGAGGTGAGGGCAGCTTTCTCCTGTTCCAGCTCTTTGATACGGTCAGAGTCCTCCCCCTCCTCGGCCAGCACAACGGCCATCTCGGCCATCTTGACCAGTCCGGCCATATTGGCGGCCAGGTGCCTTCTCCGACTCTCCTTGCTCATCCGCCTGATAGTTTCGGCTTCATCAGCACTCACGGACAAGGGAAATCCCTCGAAGAAACCCTCCTCTTTAAAACAAGGGGGCAACCCGAAGGACCTCACCGCACTAGAGTCATCGCCGACCTCCGGTTGGCTCTCCACCCGATTCCTCTTCCTTGGTATCAGGTCGATATGTAGCAGCTCGACGTCCTGAGCGTCCGCGGATCCTCCCGGAGCAGCGCCCGGGCTAGTCGACGGGCCCGTCCTCGTCGCCTGAGAAGTACCCGGGCTAGTTGGCGGACCCATCCTCGTCGCCTGAGGAGCTCTCACCACCCTCTTATTGACCTTCTTGTCCTGTGACAACTTCAAGAGCCTCTCCCTTCGTCCAGCCATCAGACCTGCATGAAAGAACCCCGGGTTAGTGACGAGAAAATAAGCGAACAAGTAACAAGCGAAGAAATTCAAACAAGACAAAACAATAACGACCTAGCAGGTTCGCGGCCTGCCCGAAGGACTGGAACTCCACAAGTGCCTTCGTGTCGATCGACCGGGCCTCGAAGGTCGGATAACCTTCTTCGTCAAGAATATCCTTCCCCTCCCTCGTGGCCCACCTGGCAGGGAAGAAACTGTCGACATACCGACAGAGAGTACCATAAGCCTTCTCGTCTTCGGGGCTCATCTCGCCCGCAGACGTGTGGTAGTACCCGGTGCCATGCTCGTAGTGCCTCGAGGTCCAATGCAAGGGAAATTTGGCCACGCGTCCTAACACCGGGCGTCCCTCGTCATCTAGAAGGGCTTCCCTGTGGTCGTCGGTCACGACCGCTTCTTCCTCATATATAGATTCTAAACCCGTTATGGTAACCGGTCTCACGATGTACCACTTGTCTTTAAAGCCCCGGACGGAATCCATGTACATTCTGAACAGTCTCTTCGACTGCTTCAAGGAAACCCAGCTATGCCTACCTCCCCGGGACTGGCGCTGTAAGTGGAAGACTCTGAAGAAGAGGGGTATGGTCGCCCCAATCCTTAGAAACCGACACGTCAGCTCGAACGCCCGGATGAAAGCAAGCGAATTTGGGTGAAGCTGCGACGGGGCCAGCTCCAGATGACTGAAGACCCCGACCTGAAAATCGCTGAAGGGCAGCTGTAATCCAAGGTCCTTGAAGGCAATCTCATACATGGGGAATCCATACTCGAGGAACTCCGAGCAGATCCGTGCGGTGAGAGTTTGTCAGGTGACGACGAAGTTCTTCTGGAAACCGGGCTGGCTACTGCCCTTCTCGAGGATGGTATATGCACTTCGACTACGTCGACTATAGGCCGAAGCGATCCCTCTGGGCTCGGCGCCCACCCATTCCAGCAGAGGATCCTCTATGGTATCAACCAAATTCACGTTCTCATCAGCACTTTGGTCTTCCACCTCGGTGCGCCCCGAAGAACACGGTTCGTCCGCCATGGTTACCTACAAAGCATAGGAAACCGATCAATTGGGGAGCAAATCCACACGCTCGCCATAACGGACGGGATAAAGGACGCGACAAGCCGTGTCACTCCACGCGCGACTAAAAAGTTGGTGCTTCGAAACAAAAGAGAAGTCACCTCCCCGACTCCCAGATACCACGACAAGTCTCCCTACAGATCGCCTAAGTGGGCCAGCATCTCGACCACTCACGAATATGTCGACCTAGGCTATGAACGTGGCGAGTGATATCATGAGTCTCAAAACTAGGGCCATGAGTTTACCGGGCACTATCAAGAATTAGGCGCCCTGAATCGTGAAGATCCCGGGAAGCACTGTGAGTCAAATACCTAAACTATGCATTTAACGGGCGCAAACATACGTTCCTCGGGCATACACATGGATTTGTCGAGCTAAATACGAATGTACCGGGGCTAATCCCAGGCGTACAGTCTCTAACATCTAAAAACAATGAAAGATATCACGCATCACATAGGAAAAGCAAAGGGAACGAGACACTTACTTGTAATCAGGAAGGAGGTGCGACGGCGGAGAAAGGGAATCAGTGACGGAGATCACGGCGGTCCTATGAATATCTGGGAAGAACAGCAACAACAGAAACAGAGGAAAGAGGAGAGGCGCGAAGAGGAAACACACGTTCTGGGGCCCAAGGACCCTATTTATAGTGATGACGTGGAATACGAAACGTCACCCCGGGGAACCACAGAACTTCCCTCCTCGACTCGTAGCTCCCCTAGGCAATGTTGACCCTATCGTCAGTAGGGTGGCGGCACGGTTCCCAAGAGATGCCTCATGTGCTCAACGAACACAGCCCGTCGAGATCCCCCGAGCACTCCTCGAACGGAATTATCTCACGGGCCCGACACAGGGGAAACTCCTCGGGCAAGCCGCGGGGAACTACATCTCTTAGCCGGGAACGGTACCTCGTGACGGAAACGGCCTAAGATCAAGTCATGGCTCCTACTCCAGGAACCACGACTTGGGGGGCTCCTGTTCTGGACTAGGCCGGGCTGGCCCAAAAGCAATGATGAAGGCCCAATCCAAACGGCCTTGCAAGGAGTCGCGTCGACCAAGAATCCATAGTCGACCCCCGACACTATCCGCCGATACGCCATCCCTGACTTCATTCGGTCTAGCTCGACCTCAGCTCGAGCGCCCCTCGTAGGGCAGACTCTGACCATTATACCACCACCTGGATCCCGAAAAGACCGCGTCCTCGTTCGTCCGTACTTCTGGCAGAACATCCAGGAAGGAGACCACGTGCGGGTCCCCACTACTCACATAGAACCTGGCAAATCCTTCATTGGGCCAAACCTGCCCGGCCCAATAAAGGGACCTTGGCCCAGCGTTGGGGGCTATAAATACCCTGTGCTCCCAGAGGGTCAGATATTCATTCTTTTACCCATACTCAAACTTTTGCCTGCTCGTACTCTCACTTACTTTAGCATCGGAGTGCTCTGTAGGTACCCCCCATCTCGTTCAAACTTCAGCTCGGAGCCAGTCGTGACGGTCCAAGTCTGATCCGGTAAGATCAATATATATATATATATATATATATATATATATATATATATATATGAAAGTATTCTTATTCTTTGTTTGTAAATGGAAAGATAAGAAAAGAAAGTAATTGGAAAATCAATATATTTAATGGCTAAAAATTCAAATACATTTTAGATTTTAAAAAAATGTTCTTTTTCTATTTAAAAAAACTATTTTATAAGAATTTTTTTAAAAATAATATAAGTTTTTTCAAACTCATTTTTCATAAACTAAAAAAGTAATCTTGACATTTTGTAATATAATATTCACTACTAATAATTTATTATAATAAAAACCGCATAATTATTTTAAAAAAATTATTTCATAGTTTTTAGGAAAATCATTTTAAAATAGCTTCATATATAAGTGATTTTTTTAAAAAAAACATTAATTTCTAATAAATTTATAGTAAAAGAAACTTTTTTTTTCTTACCAAAATTTATATTACTATAAAATAATAGCCGTATGAAATTTTTTGAGTAAATTATATCTAAAAATAATAATATCGTCAATTAAATTATATTTTTTTCATTTTGGTCTTTTGTAATGGTTTGCAAGTTGCATGTGATTTTGAATGGTTAAAGAATTTATATCTTTTATTACCATTTTAAACACATTAAATTAAAAAAAAAAAGATTTTACATTAAAAAAATTTAAAAACCTATTTTTGTAATAAAATGAGACTCAACTAAATTTTTAATTGTTCCATTATACTATAAATAGATTGACAAAGTGTCACTTGAGATTTATTTAACCATGTTTATGATACCATTAAGTTTTATAATAGTGTATTGACACCAAATCTAACAAAATCATGCTCATAACTTAACAATTTACAAGGATGCTAACGATTAAAAATGCTAAATTTATAATGTGTTGTTGAAAAAAATTACGTGTCATTTAACGGCTTCCTGCTACCTTGTTAGAAATTATTGACACTATAAAATAATCATAAATTTTATCATTTAATAGAAATATTTAAATTTTAAGATACACAAATTTAAACGATGGCAGGTGGAGTTTTAGTTACTTCAACAAATGGAAGACAATATGAGGGGAAGGTTACGATGTTTGTTTTGGTCACATGTTTAGTGGCGGCTATGGGGGGTTTACTTTTTGGTTATGATCTTGGTATTACAGGAGGAGTGACTTCCATGGAACCATTCTTAGTTAAATTCTTTCCCAGTGTTTACAAACAAATGAAAGATGAATCTGGACACGAGAGTCAATATTGCAAATTTGATAACGAGCTCCTTACTTTGTTCACATCTTCTTTGTATCTTGCAGCTTTAATAGCTTCTTTCTTTGCTTCCACAACTACAAGAATGTTAGGACGCAAGGCCTCAATGTTTACAGGTGGCTTGTTTTTCCTTATTGGTGCATTGCTTAATGGTTTTGCTATCAACATTGAAATGCTTATCATTGGTCGCCTATTACTTGGTTTTGGTGTAGGATATTGTAATCAGGTAAAAATTGGTATCACTTTTATGCTTTTATGTTTTTATGTATAAATGATCAAGAATATTGCAAGTTTAATTGCATATAATATTTTGTTACTCATAAACAGTCAGTTCCAGTGTATTTGTCTGAAATGGCTCCAGCAAAGATTAGAGGTGCACTCAACATGGGCTTCCAAATGATGATAACTATTGGAATCCTAGGGGCAAACATTATCAACTACTTTACTTCTGATCTTGAGAGTGGATGGAGAATTTCTTTGGGTATCGGAGCTGTCCCTGCAATTTTGTTGTGTATAGGATCTTTTTTCTTAGGAGACACTCCAAACTCTATGATTGAAAGGGGCCAAAAAGAAGGAGCTAAGAAAATGTTGTAAAAGATTCGTGGCATTGATAATGTCGATGAGGAGTTCCAAGATCTAATCGATGCTAGCGAGGAAGCCAAGAAGGTGGAACATCCATGGAAGAATATTACAGAACTGAGATATAGACCTCAACTAACATTTTGCTCTCTCATTCCATTCTTTCAACAACTCACAGGCATCAATGTTATCATGTTTTATGCCCCTGTCCTTTTCAAGACTTTGGGCTTTGGAAACAATGCTTCCCTCATGTCCGCAATAATTACCGGAGGTGTCAATGTTCTTGCTACTTTTGTTTCCATCTTCACAGTGGATAAGTTTGGAAGAAAAATTTTGTTTCTTGAAGGTGGTGTCCAAATGTTTATTTGTCAGGTGACTATTTCAACTAACTAATAATTAATTATTTATATTTTCCATTCAAATTGATCTGTTTTCCAAGCATAGCTAATGTAAATGTTATGGCAATTGATTGCAGATTATTGTGGGAAGCATGATTGCTATTAATTTTGGAGTTAGCGGTGAAGGCTCATTTACATATATTGAAGCTAATTTTCTTTTGTTCTTCATATGTTTGTATGTTGCCGCATTCGCATGGTCTTGGGGTCCATTGGGATGGTTAGTTCCTAGTGAAATATGCTCTCTTGAGGTTCGCTCTGCAGGTCAAGCTACCAATGTTGCTGTGAACATGTTATTCACCTTCGCCATTGCTCAAATTTTTCTTACTATGCTTTGTCACTTGAAGTTTGGACTTTTCTTCTTCTTTGCTGGCTTTGTGCTTATAATGACAATTTTCATTGTCATGTTTTTTCCCGAGACAAATAATGTCCCAATTGAAGAAATGAATAAAGTGTGGAAGTCTCATTGGTTTTGGACAAAATTTGTTTCAAATGTTGTCGTCGATCATGATCATAAGGCCGTTGCTTGATTTCGATATTAGAAAAAGCTCGGGACCTATACCAATATATGTTTGATACAACAATTTCCGTTAATTCTATTTGATGTTGTTATAATCATCTTGTATTTAAAAATATATATTTATTTTAATTTATGAATAATCTATAATATACTTTGTTGTTCTAATATAATATGCTTATAATTTTTAATAAAGTTGATTCTTTTAAATTTAATACTTTAATTATAAGTTTTATATCCAATAATAAAATATTTCTATAAAGACAATAAAATAACTTTTGTGACTTTGTATTTAAGATGGTAATACATGTATTTTCTCTTATAGAAATTCTTAATTACATAATCGATTAGACTTAACACCTATTAGTATTCAACTTATAACAATGGACGTAAATTTCTTTAAATTAAACAAAATAATTAAATCAAAGAGAGAAAAAAAACATAACAAAAATAAAATTTAAAAAGACATAAAATATAATTAAATAAGAAGAGAGAATAGAACCTGGTAGTAAATTTGAGAAAAATAAAATAGAATGTCAATGAAAGTAATTGGCAAAAAAGGCGATCATAACCTCTTTAATAATGAAAACTCTTTAATATTGTGACTTTATATTAGTAGAAGGAGATTACTTATACCTTCCAAAATTATGTAAAATACATAGGTATTTATTAACTTATTTCACTAGTAATCGTTAAAAATTTTTTGATTTATCAATGAAAAGTGATAAAACACCAATTTGAATATCTACTTGCATATTAACTAAAAACGGGCAAGGACTGATAAAACACCAAGCATCACACAAAAACTTATCAAAACCTTTTCCTGCAAGGAAGACTTGATAGGTCAGGTTAATGGGCCTGCTATAGGCGGGAGAAAACTTCAAGGCTAAGTTACTTCATAGTAAAGAAAGGGTTAGTGCACTAGTCGAAGATCGATGGAGCACCTAGAAATCTAGGAATGATAGGGAAAGTTGCAGGTCAACTATCATTTTTTAACAAGAAAGAAAGTTTTAGGGTTTGATGATCACTATAAACATCCTCTAATAATGACAGTCGGCTTGAATAAATCTCAAGCCACATCGCCGAGAAGAATTCAGTAAAGTGTCTATATTATTGGGTTACCTTACAAGTCGTATAGCTCTTGATGTTTACAAATCAACTGGCACATTAATTTTGGCCCAGGAAATTTTCTTTTTTATATGACACTCTCTAGTCTATAAATAGAGGTTATTCCCTTCACATTTTCACATCTAGAAACGTGAGTAGTTTGAGTAGCTAGATTATCCATCCGGGAGCTACTAAGATGCACCACGATTTGAAGAAAATATTCTGGTGGCCGAGATTGAAGCGTGACATGGAGAAGTTTGTGTATGCTTGTTTGACTTGTCAGAAGTCGAAAGTTGAGCATCAGAAATCTGCAGGGTTAATGCAACAGTTGGATATTCTAGAGTGAAAATAGGATAGCATTTCAATGGATTTCGTGATTGGGTTGTCGAATAATCCGGGAGGGCATGATGTGATTTGGGTGATTGTAGATAGGTTGACAAAATCAACTCATTTAATTTCGATTAATATAAGTTTCCTCTGCAAAAGTTGGTAGAGATTTAAATTTGTGTGGTTGTGAAATTACATGTGGTTCTGTTGTGTATTGTTTATGACAGAGACCTGATGTTTACATCATGATTTTGGGGGAGTTTGCAGGAGGCTTTGGGTTCTAAGTTGAGATTGAGTTCTGCTTATCATCCACAAACAGATGGTTAGACAGAGAGAACTATTCATTCATTTGAGGATTTGTTGAGAGCTTGTGTCCTTGATCAAGGAGGTGCTTGGGACAGTCATCTTTCGCTGATAGAGTTTGTAACACCCCATTTCTACCCAACGAATTTATATAAAATCATAGTTACAAAATTTCCAACACACAAATAGAATGCTACACTTTCAACATAGAAACAATGAAATTTAATCGCCTATAGTACAAATACATAACACATAAAATTCGGATGAACTGATAACCACCTGTTTAGTCTTTAAAAATTTAAAACAACTTTTATAATTAAGCAGCAGAATATAAATGTTCAACTCAAATGGCATAACATCCTTGTCCAACTGAAAACAACTTCAAAACAACAAGTGCTTAACAAAAACAACTTAAAATTCAGCAACGAAAGTAAAATCAACAATAAAGCAATAAGCGTTCATCCTCCCGAGTGTTACGTATCAGAGCAACGACACCGACTCAAACCAATGAAGGTACACAACCTTCACTCTGGATTACATGCATGTTACCAACATTGGGTAACATTCAAATAGAAGGGGTGAGATACAAACCAATATAATCGGATGTATGATAAATAATATATTAAAATCAGATCATACAAAATCACCGCTTCATAGCTTTTAAACAACATCCATTACAACCAAGTCATCAACATAATATCCCAACCAATTCATAATCACAACAACTCAAGATGCAATATGAAATGCGACATGTTACGATGCAAATGCATATGATACCAATGGAGTAAAACTCCCAACTTAATAATATGCCAATTAATAGAGGCATCAACAAGGTATAAGCCTTTAACTTCAAATCTTGCCAATTCAGGCCAACTTATCAAGCATTAGCTCCCAACTTTATATGATATGTATACGAAAACATGAATAAAAGCAACAACAACAACAACAACAACAATAACTACACAATGACAACAACCATTCAACAACAACTCAACAATAATATCAACATTGACAATAAGCCTACAACTGGATATTTGCCAATAATTAGAGGCATCTCAACAAAATTAATCATCACCTGCCAATTCTCAAATTATAACGAAGTATACAATACACCGTATTAACCAAAATATGCTACGACATCCCGCATAATTAATCAGACAATTATACTATAATCACTTCTACTGATAATCCTCCAATAAATTATTGCATCTGCTATTAAATTGTACACATCAGTTACTAAAGTTTTCTACCAAATTAATAGCTCTAATATATCAAAACTAACTCTGCTATTATCTTTCTGTTATTTCATTTTATCAACACTGCTACTGGAAACTCTACTGAATATTAAAAATTACAAATGATTTGATTACTAGTATAATATTTTATAACTAAACAATTGTAGCTTATCACTAATTATTTACTAATGATTCACCAAATATAAGTGGCCTTAATTTATTGAAATTAATTATTATTCTGCTATTACTCATATCCTACTTTATCTAATATACTATTTTAATGAGATATAATTAAAAATATTATGTTAGAACCTTCCATGCCCCTCAGCATAACTTTTGTGCCCCTAGGCACAACTTACCTTCACACGGCACACACAAAACAAGTGTGCCCTTTAGCATACCCTGTGCCCTTCGACACCGTATGCTTTTTACATAGTTTCAACATAGAACCTCGAATACTTTTCCTCCGATTATCGGTCTCATATCAAAACAATATATAATTTCAGCAACATCAATTTTCAGCGAAACAATAATTTTACAAAGACGACAATTTTACACAGACAACAACATGAAAAAAGACAACGGTTCAGCAAATTTCTCAACAACATTTACACACAGTAGAAATTTCATACAACCAAATCTCAATATAATATTAATCATATACTCTGATATAAAGTCAGAACCCCACCTTTACCTTGGACTGAAGGTTGCTCTGCCTCCTAAATTTGCCTCTTCTTGCAGTTTCCACGTATCTCTTCTCTAACCCTTATTTTTCTTCCATTGCCAAAAACCTATTTTGTTCTTACTGCTACTTCTAATTCTATTATAATATAACTATTATACTATTATTCTTATTTTTGTCATATTGGGCTTAAATTCCTACACCTCCATTTCTAATACTTTTAACATAAAAACTCCACTCAATTAGTAATAGTATTATTCTAATACTATTTCTACAACTTAATCTAATTAATTAATTCAACTAAGAACGACACAACTTAAATCAATATTTCACAACTTCGAAAATTTAATCGGAAAAATATTCAAAAATATTTAATTAAATAATTAATTAAATATATTGTGTTACAACCCTCCCCCACTTAGAATATTTTCGTCCTCGAAAAATTTACCTTGTTCGAACAACTCAGGATAGGATTCCCGCATTTTGCTCTCCAAATCCCACGTCATGCTTTCTCCGGCAGCTCCTAACCAGACTACTTTCATAAAAGAAATCTCTTTGCCTCTTAGAGTCATTATTTCATGATCCACGATTCGTACATACATCGTCTCCACAATGAGATTATCCCTTACTTTCACATAATCCATATGAATCACATGAGATGAATCTGAAATATACTTCCGGAGTTATGACACATGAAACACATCATGCAAATTCGATAGGTTAGGAGGTAAAGCCACTCTATAAGCAACATTCCCAACTCTGTCTGAAATATTATACACACCAATAAAACAAGGAATGAGCTTCTTAGACTTCAATGCTCGCCCAACATCGATCACAGGCGTGACTCTCAAAAACACATGGTCACCCTCTTGAAATTCTAAACCTTTCCTTCACTTGTCATGATGACTCTTATGTCTACTTTACGAAGTTTTCATCTTTTCCGGAATTAACTTCACCTTCTCGGTAGTTTCTCGAACAAGTTCAGGTCCAAGTACTACGCTTTCTCAAGACTCATGCCAACATAAAGGAGTTCTACATCTCTTACCATACAACACTTCAAAAGGTGTCATTCCAATACTAGAATGGTAACAATTATTATAAGTGAACTCTATCATCGAAAGATAAGTGTCCCACGAATCTCCCTGTTCAAGAACACATGCTCTTAACAAATCCTCCAACGACTGAATAGTTCTCTCTGTCTGAACATCCGTATGAGGATGATACGCCAAACTCAACCTCAAATTAGAACCCAACGCCTCTTACAGACTCTTCCAAAAATCAGAAGTGAACCTCAGATCTCAATCTGAAACAATACACAAAGGAATACCATGCAGTTTCACAATTACACTAGTATAAATC